CAGAGGCAGCAAAGCAACTCCACATTTTCAAACCTCCCCCATCTTTATTGTAGAGTTTGTGTTATTTTCATTGAATGCTTAATTTGGTTGTCAGTAAACACAGCGCTGATCTGTATTGGGAAAGAGCTCCAACATTGGTCCATAGAACATTTCCTCCAGGATTTAGGCTTGTTTGGGTGGGTTTTCTTGTGTTTACCAACAACCTAATGAAGCAATAGACCAATAGTGGACTGCCTCACTCAAACATTGAAGAATTAGAGCAGTTTTCTGCTGAAGAGTGGGCCAAATTGCCAGTAGAAAGTTGCAGCAAGCTCATTGATGGCTACAAGAAGCATTTGTCTGCAGTTGTCTTGGCCAAAGGCTGTGCAACAAAGTACTACCTCCAGGGTGCCTATAAGTTTGTCAATGCCATTTGTCTTTATTTTATCAATTAAAATTGTAAACTTAAGTTTACAAAAATACAATTGGTTCTGCAATGTTGAAAATCTAATAACAAGGTGTGAAGACAAATTATTTTAGAAGAAATAGGGAATTATTTAAGAAAAGTGCACTTATAATTGTCCGGAACCATACTGCATATATATTTTTTTACCCCTTTTTCGTAGTATCCAATTGGCAGTTACAGTCTTGTCCCATCGCTGCAACTCCGATGCGTCCTCCGAAACACTACCCAACCGAGCCGCACTGCTTCTTGACACAGTGGAAGCCAGCCGCACCAACGTGTCGGTGGAAACACCGTACACCTGGCGACCGTGTTAGCGTGCGCTGCGCCCGGCCCGCCACAGGAGTCGCTAGTGCGCGATGGGAAAAGAACATCACTGCCAGCCAAACCCTGGACGACGCTGTGTGCCGCCCCATGGGTCTCCCTGTCGCGGCCGGCTGCGATAGAGCCTGGACTCTAACCAGGATCTCTAGTGGCACAGCTAGCACTGCGATGCAGTGCCTTAGACCACTGCGCCACTCGGGAGGCAACCGTACAGTACATATTAAAGGTGCAATTATAGGTGCTATAATAATATAATATTTGAGAACAAACAATCACCAAAATAAAAGCTAGACAGAATACTTAAAAAATATATATGTTTGAGCAAAAGAACACAGTATTAGACATGGCAAAATGCATAGAATTGCAGGAAATTAGCTTTAAAACTGCAACACTTTCTTTCAGCTCCATGGAGACATTTGTAGAATTGCAGGAAATTGGCTTAAAATGTATCTACACCGCCAAGATGGGGGTCTCTAAAATGTTCTCTAAAATTCAGCTGCGCCGACGGGCCGACCGCGCCCATTGCCACGCACCTGCCACGCCCACCACCTAAACCAGTTTTTAATCCAGAAAAAACCCTGATGACTGACAGTGTTTGAATAAGGTTGTTCTGCACATCAGAAGAGCACATTATCCTGCTAAACCAAAGCCTATAGTCAATGCAACTCTTCAGGTATCAGGCAAGGTTACTCATCATGCAAACAACTAAGCAGGGAGAATTGGTTTGGGGACCATGCACATGTGATGAGTAACTTTGCCTGAGACCAGAAAAATTGCTTTGGCTTAGCAGGCTATGATGTTCTTCTGGTGTACAGGACATCAGGTTCGAACCCTGTCAGTTACTCTAGCTACTAGTCTAAAATCAATGCACATAGAGCGTCACATGGCTAGGATGTATCACTGAATGGTGGTGTTGTGTTGCCATTTTCATTTAGAATTTCCCTTTACCTTTCCAATTAGCCATTTTAGATTTTCATTTTAACATTGAAATTTCATTGTGCCTTGAATCATGCACCTTGATATGAAAATATAAATGCATTTATAATTTTCAAATTTCAATTGAGCATTTAAGCATTGCATTTTCGAACTGGCACAGATCACCCTCCATAATAAAGGGTTTATTTTAATCAGGGTCGCAACTTTGGTTTTAGAAGTGAGGGGGACATAATTATTTTGTATTATATATATTTTTTTATCCAGTCGGATAAATACTCCAAACAGCCTGCCCGACCGCTCGGACATGTCCCCCCTGTCCCCAGTGAAAGTTGCGCCCCTGATTATAATAATGCTTTTTGGATTTCTCTTCAGATACCTAACATCTGGGACAGAAAAGGGAGGGAACAACTTTTTTTTCAACTTTAAATACATTTTATTTTGACAAAAAAAGGCAGTTTTCACATTAAATATGCTTGGTTTGTAAAAGGGGCCATTACTGTAACAGAACAAATATAATTATTTCATAAAATAAGAGCTCTTAAACCAGACAGCAAAATCTGTAATAATAGTATAGGATAATACCACACCATGGTTGTGTCTCAAATGGTACCATATTCCCTATATAGTGCACTACTTTTGACCAGGGCCCAAAGGGGGAATAGGGTGCCATTTGGGGGACACCCCATTATCATCAGTAGTTATACAGTATACATGCAGGGTGTAATGATCATTTAACACACTACCCCTTTTAAAAGGCCAAAGACTGAAAACCTCTAATCTTGAGAGGTGAGACAACTGTAAGCCACTTGCATATTTATGCTTAGAAGGCAGGTTAGATTTATACATATTTATATTATTAATTGTATTGATACTGTACATCCGACAGCCACCACATGCAGCATTATAACAGCAGGTTGTATTTTTCAGTATAACCATTTATCTACTTGGTTAATAACTAACAGAGGTAAACTAGGTATAAAGAGGACATTACTTTTCTGTACAATATTACATTATTTAGTAATAAAGAAAGAAAATCATAACTCATAATTCTACTAATTTGAACTATTGATTTCTATCTACAACCTCCATCTAATGTCAGAGAAAAACAAGTTGTTTAAATCGGAGACATCTGTAAAATGTTAACAACCAACTGCATGCCTCTGTGTGTAAGGTGTACTGCAAACACAGGAATGCGACCAATGGACCCTAAAGTGGAGGTATCCTGATTAACTAGGTCACAGAACGGTGCGCTGAAAACTTCTCCAGTGTGTCTGAGTGACAACAGAGCTGCACTGCTTTGTCTTGATTGTCTCTCCCTAGGGTGAACTAGAAAACACAGGCACCACCCATTTTAAAAGGTGCCACTGCGTCATAGCGGCAACTTGAAAATGAGCTCACTTCTTTTTATATCATGTCATACCATATACAGTGCCTTAGGAAAGTATTCAGACCCCTTGACTTTTTACACATTTTGTTACGTTACAGCCTTATTCCAAAATAGATTAAATCAATAGAAAATCCTCAGCAATCTACACACAATACCCCATAATGACAAAGCGAAAACAGGTTTTTATAAAATGTTGGAAATGTATTAAATTCAAAAACATAAATACCTTATTTACATAAGTATTCAGACACTTTGCTATGAGATTCGAAATTGAGCTCAGGTGCATCCTGTTTCCATTGATCATCCTTGAGATGTTTCTCCAACTTGATTGGAGTCCACCTGTGGTAAATTCAATTGATTGGATATGATTTGGAAAGGCACACACCTGTCTATATAAGGTCCAATAGTTGACAGTGCATGTCAGAGCAAAAACCAAGCCATGAGGTCGAAGGAATTGTCCGTAGAGCTCCGAAACAGCATTGTGTCGAGGCACAGATCTGGGGAAGGGTACCAAAAAATGTCTGTAGCATTGAAGGTCCCCAAGAACACAGTGGTCTCCATCATTCTTAAATGGAAGAAGTTTGGAACCACCAAGACTCTTCCTATAGCTGGCCGCCCGGCCAAACTGAGCAATCGGGGGAGAAGGGTCTTGGTCAGGGAGGTGACCAAGAACCCGATGGTCACTCTGACAGAGCTCTAGAGTTCCTCTGTGGAGATGGGATAACCTTCCAGAAGGACAACCATCTCTGCAGCACTCCACCAATCAGGCCTTTATGGTAGAGTGGCCAGACGGAAGCCACTCCTCAGTAAAAGGCACATGACAGCCCGCTTGGAGTTTGCCAAAAGGCACCTAAAGACTCTCAGACCATGAGAAACAAGATTCTCTGGTCTAATGAAACCAAGATTGAACTCTTTGGCCTGAATGCCAAGCGTCACATCTGGAGGAAACCTGGCACCATCCCTACGGTGAAGCATGGTGGTGGCAACATCATACATGCTGTGGGGATGTTTTTCAGCGTCAGGGACTGGGAGACTAGTCAGGATCGAGGCAAAGATGAACGGAGCAAAGTACAGAGAGTTCCTTGATGAAAACCTGCTCCAGAGCACTCAGGACCTCAGACTGGGGGCGAAGGTTCACCTTCCAACAGGACAACGACCCTAAGCACACAGCCAAGACAACGCAGGAATGGGAAAAACTCCCCAAATACAGGTGTGCCAAGCTTCTAGTGTCATACCTAAGAAGACTCAATGCTGTAATCGCTGCCAAAGGTGCTTCAACAAAGTACTGAGTAAAGGGTCTGAATACTTATGTAAATTTAATATTTCAGTTTTTTATTTGTAATAAATTAGCAAAAATTTATAAAAACCTGTTTTTGCTTTGTCATTATGGGTATTGTGTGTAGATTGATGAGGATTAAAAAAAATGCATTTTAGAATAAGGCTGTAACGTAACAAAATGTGGAAAAAGTCAAGGAGTCTGAACACTCTCTCTCTGTCTCTCTCTCAACTTGACCTCAGATCTCTCTCTCTCAGGACTTGACCTCAATGACTCTGATTAAAGGAAGTGACTTGTTGCCTTGCATTGATGAAGGTTTTATCAGCTTACTGTGGGCAAAATAACAGAAATATACCATAAGACATCAGGTGTAAATTGATTTTCTGCCACTTCCTTGGCCCTCCTTTCTATCCTCAAACATTATACTGTATTGCTGCTGTGTTGTTCATGAAAATAACCTTCACACATTGACTGAATTCCAAGACAGGTGAGTCACATGAGAATAACTATTATGAGCCAGTTTTCCAGACACAGATCAAGTCTAGCACAGGACTAATATGCATTCTCCAGGAATAGGTTTAATCTGTGTCCGGGAAAGCGACCCTATAGAGATAAGAGACAGGAAGATGGTATTGTCACCTGTAGACGATCTGGGGTTTGGGTTTGCATTCTTTGGTGGGCGGAGAGGCGGGCTTCTGACCCTCCAGGAAGTACTCCATCTGGTCACGCATCTCTGTGTTCTGGAGAGGAGAGGGGTGAAAAGTCATTCAGAGAGAGAGGGACCTAACACAGGGACCCTTATCCCTCAAAAACACGCACACGCACACACACATATACCACAACACAGATAGCTGTATGAGTACTGACCTCAGCTTCCAGAAAAGCCACCTTCTCCTCTAGATCCCTGATCACTCGATCTCTCTCCTGGATCACTGTCCGTGAGTTCTGCAGCTGTAACACTCACAAAACAAATACACTTAGATACACTGCCCAGTGACACAAGACTTCCAGACGAGCTAAACCACTTCTATGCTCGCTTCGAGGCAAGCAACACTGAAGCATGCATGAGAGCACCAGCTGTTCCGGATGACTATGTGATCACGCTCTCCGTAGCCAATGTGAGTAAGACTTTTAAGCAGGTCAATATTCACAAGGCCGCAGGGCCAGACGGATTACCAGGACGTGTGCTCCGAGCATGTGCTGACCAACTGGCAAGTGTCTTCACTGACATTTTCAACATGTCCCTGACTGAGTCTGTAATACCAACATGTTTCAAGCAGACCACCATAGTCCCCGTGCCCAAGGACACTAAGATAACCTGCCTAAATGACTACCGACCCGTAGCACTGACGTCTGTAGCCATGAAGTGCTTTGAAAGGCTGGTCATGGCTCACATCAACACCATTATCCCAGAAACCCTAGACCCACTCTAATTTGCATACCGCCCCAACAGATCCACAGAAGATGCAATCTCTATTGCACTCCACACTGCCCTTTCCCACCTGGACAAGAGGAACACCTACGTGAGAATGCTATTCATTGACTACAGCGCAGCATTCAACACCATAGTGCCCTCAAAGCTCATCACTAAGCTAAGGATCCTGGGACTAAACACCTCCCTCTGCAACTGGATCCTGGACTTCCTGACGGGCCGCCCCCAGGTGGTAAGGGTAGGTAACAACACATCTGCCACACTGATCCTCAACACGGGGGCCCTTCAGGGGTGCGTGCTCAGTCCCCTCCTGTACTCCCTGTTCACCCATGACTGCATGGCCAGGCACGACTCCAACACCATCATTAAGTTTGCCGACGACACAACAGTAGTAGGCCGACAACGATGAGACAGCCTATAGGGAGGAGGTCAGAGACCTGGTCGTGTGGTGCCAGGATAACAACCTCTCCCTCAACGTGACCAAGACAAAGGAGATGATTGTGGACTACAGGAAAAAAATAGGACTGAGCACGCCCCCATTTTCATCGACGGGGCTGTAGTGGAACAGGTTGAGAGCTTCAAGTTCCTTGGTGTCCACATCACCAACGAACTATCATGGTTGTCAGAGGAAGGCCCTCAAAATTGTCAAAGACTCCAGCCACCCTAGTCATAGACTGTTCTCTCTGCTACCGCACGGCAAGCGATACCGGAGTGCCAAGTCTAGGTCCAAAATACTTCTCAACAGCTTCTACCCCCAAGCCATAAGACTCCTGAACAGCTAATCATGGCTACCCGGACTATTTGCACTGCCCCCCCCACCCCATCTTTTTACACTGCTGCTACTCTCTTAATTATTTATGCATAGTCACTTTAACTCTACCCACATGTACATATTACTTCAACTACCTCAACTAGCCGGTGCCCCCGCACATTGACTCTGCACCGGTACCCCCCTGTATATATAGCCTCCCTACTGTTATTTTATTTTACTTCTGCTCTTTTTTTCTCAGCACTTTTTTTGTTGTTGTTTTATTTTACTTTTTTATTAAAAAATAAATGCACTGTTGGTTAAGGGCTGTATGTAAGCATTTCACTGTAATGTCTGCACCTGTTGTATTCGGCGCATGTGGCCAATACAATTTTATTTGATTTTATTTGATTTAGAAAACCAACATTCTCTGTAACTTCCACAGAACAGGATATATCATCACTTATTTATGATGAGTGTTCTGTTTCAGCAAACAGTTTCACGTGGATTACAGTAACTCCCCTACCGCCTTTACAAACCAAAGCAATTAGGAACCCTCTACTCCAGGGTTCTTCAATTCCGGTCCTGGAGGGCCGAAACACCTCTGTTTTTCATCCTCTCCTTCTAATCAGGGGCTAATTCAGACCTGGGACACCAGGTGAGTGCAATTAACTACCAGGTAGAAATAAAAAACAGAAGTGTTTCGGCCCTCCAGGACCGGAATTGAAAAACCCTGCTCTACTCCCTCCTCCTCAATATCATTTCCCCATTGATGGCTGCTACGCATGCAGGGTTTGTGTGTGTTTGTGCACGGTCCCTTTGGAAAGTATTCAGACCCCTTGACCTTTTCCACATTTTGTTACGTTACAGCCTTATTCTAAAACGGATTTTAATATAAATATTCCTCAGCAATCTACACACAATACCCCATAACGACAAAGCAAAAACAGTCTTTTAGAAATTTTTGCACATTTATAAAAATGAGTAAAGGGTCTGAATACTTATGTAAATGTGATATTTCAGTTTTTAATTTTTAATAAATGTACAAACATTTCTAAAAACCTGTTTTTGCTTCGTCATTATGGGGTGTTGTGAGTACTATTTAATCAATTTCAGAATAAGGCTGTAACGTAACAAAATGTGGAAAAAGTCAAGGGGTCTGAATACTTTCCAAATGTACTGTATATGTGTGTGTGTACGCATGTGTGTGTACGTGTGTGTCTATGCATGTGCGCTTCGTGCACATCCATCTGTGTGTATCTGCCGCTTGCGTGTACGTGCATCCATGTGTGTGTTCTCACCTGTTCGATCATGTGGCGGACCTTCCTCTGCTGGCTCTTCAGCATGTCGTCCAGATGATGGATCTTCTCCTTCAGGACAGCCACCTCCTTCTCCAGCTCCTCAGTTCTGACAACACACACCACAACACAATGGTTACATAAACATAATTACCATAATATCTACACTGTATATGAACATGCCATATTTATGGGTCCAAAGTTTAAAGGGAGTATACAGTATCCTTTTAAGTATCTTGTTAAAAAAGATACTGTATACTCCCTTCAAACTTTGGACTTATAAGTATGGCAATTCATGAATGTTGTAGGCTAGAGTAGCAATGTTACAATGTCTGTTGCTGAGGACTGTATTGTTGTATACTCATGTAGAGTTGACTGATTTGTAGTGGTTATGGCGACAGAGCCTCCTCACCTCTGCTTTTTCTCCTGTCCCCCCTCCTTGGCTGCTCTCAGCTGTAGCAGTTCAGCCTCGCTGGTGGCCATTTTGTCCCTCAGGACATCACCCTCCAGCTCCATGCCCCCCAGCAGCCGCTCCAACTCCTCCACCCTCTGACCTCTCTCCTCTGCCTCCCCCTCCACTTGCTGCAGGTGCTTCGACTGCTTGTCCAGACGCCAGCTGAACTCAACGCTTTCAGTCTGCAGGGGAAGCCAGAGAGGTAAGGTTCCCAATTACATCTAGTTACAGTAATGGTCAGGAAATAGTTCAAATGTCTTCATCAGTGCATGTTCAATTGTGGACTGGGATGGCTTAAAAGCAATTGACTTGAAGATACTAATAACAATCATGGATAATGATGAATACCCTTCAGCGGTCAACAGTAATATTTCTAGGTAATTCTTATCAATCGTACAATATCACTCACACAATGGTGAGAGGACAAGGCTAGCCCTCTTGTATAGAATGTGAGGTCATCTAATATTATGCAACACATGCATCATGATGACACTGGAACTAATGACTGTGTTCTGAGATGACACTGGATAACAGTGGAACAAAGAACAAAACGATAGATGGAGAGGATGATAGAGAGAGAGGGTTGGGGAAAAGAAAGAGGGAGACAGATGAGACAATAGATAAGTAGAGTCAAAAAAGGATCGGAGCTGAAGAAAGAGAGAGAGAGAAAGGGGGATGAATATTCTTCTACATCTGGTGAACACTGACCTGCAGTCTGTCTTTCTCCTCCTGGTGTCTCTTCTCTGACTCCTGCAGCTGAGCATACAGGCGCTTGCTCACCTCCCTTAGCTTAGCACTGTCCTCTGAATTCTCCCTGACCTGTGTGAGAGAGAAAGAGCAAGCTCTATGAACTCAGACATAGAGTAAACAAACAGACAGAGAGTGCTAGGTGCTGACATTCCATTTGCATCCCATTTGTAAGTAAGTATTTCGTAATTGCCTGAGATAAAAGGTCACATAAATGGGTTGGTGTGTCAGGTGTCGGTTAGCTGAATACACAATGGTTTTCCCGGTAGAAAATCACACCATGTATTGTTTTCTTTAACATGAACCCTTTTTAGAATGGAGGCTAATGTAACAGGACTCTAGCATACACAGACAGGTCATAGACTAGTTACTGTCTGTGTAGATGTACACTACTAGTAAAACGTTTAGACACGCCTACTCATTCAAGGGTTTTTCTTTATTTTTACATTGTAGAATAATAGTGAAGACGTCAAAACAATGAAATAACACATATGGAATCATGTAGTAACCAAAAAAGTGTTAAACAAATCAAAATATATTTTATATTTGAGATTCTTCAAATAGCCACCCTTTGCCTTGATGACAGCTTTGCACACTCTTGGCATTCTCTCAACCAGCTTCATGAGGTAGTCACCTGGAATGCATTTCAATTATGGTGGTCCTCTGTAGCTCAATTGGTAAAGCATGACGCTTGTAACGCCAGGGTAGTGGGTTCGATCCCCGGGACCACCCATACGTAGAAATGTATGCACACATGACTGTAAGTCGCTTTGGATAAAAGCGTCTGCTAAATGGCATATTATTATTAATTAACAGGTGTACATTGTTAAAAGTTAATATGTGGAATGTCTTTCCTTCTTAATGCGTTTTAGCCAATCAGTTGTGTTGTGACAAGGTGGGGGGGGGGGGGGGGGGTATACAGAATATAGCCCTATTTGGTAAAAGACCAAGTCCATATTATGGCAAGAACAGCTAAAATAAGCAAAGAGAAATGACAGTCCATCATTACTTTAAGAAATGAAGGTCAGTCAATACGGAACATTTCAAGAACTTTGAAAGTTTCTTCAAGTGCAGTCGCAAAAACCATCAAGCGCTATGATGAAACTGGCTCTCATGAGGACCAGCACAGGAAAGGAAGACCCAGTTCATTAGAGTTACCACCCTCAGATTGCAGCCCAAATAAATACCTCACAGAGTTCAAATAACAGCAACATCTCAACATCGACTGTTCAGAGGGGAACTGTTCTGGCCTTCATGGCCGAATTGCTGCAAAGAAACCACTACTAAAGGACACCAATAATGAGAAGAGACCTGCTTGGGCCAAGAAACACAAGCAATGGACATAAGACCGGTGGAAATTTGTCCTTTGGTCTGGAGTCCAAATGTGAGATTTTTGGTTCAAACCGCCGTCTTTGTCAGACGCGATGTGGCTGAACGGATGATCTCCGCATTTGTAGTTCCCACCGTAAAGCATGGAGGAGCTGTTATGGTGTGGGGGTGCTTTGCTGGTGACACTGTCTGTGATTTATTTAGAATTCAAGGCACACTTAACCAGCATGGCTACCACAGCATTCTGCAGCGTTACGCCATCCCATCTGGTTTGGGCTTAGTGGGACTATCATTTGTTTTTCAACAGGACAATGACCCAACACACCTCCAGGCTGTGTAAGGGCTATTTTACCAAGAAGGAGAGTGATGGTGTGCTGCATCAGATGACCTGGCCTCCACAATCCCCCGATCTCAACCCAATTGAGATGGTTTGGGATGAGTTGGACAGCAGAGTGAAGGAAAAGCAGCCAACAAGTGCTAAGCATATGTGGGAACTCCTTCAAGACTGTTGGAAAAGCACTCCAGGTGAAGCTGGTTGAGAGAATGCCAAGAGTGTGCAAAGCTGTCATCAAGGCAAAGGGTGGCTATTTGAAGAATCTCAAATATAAATATAGTTTGATTTGTTTAACACTTTTTGGGTTACTACATGATTCCATATGTGTTATTTCATATAGTTTTGATGTCTTCACTATTATTCTACACGGTAGAAAATATTAATAAATTAAGAAAACCATTGAATGAGTAGGTGTGTCCAAACTTTTGACTGGTACTGTACATTCCCTTAGAATGTATTTCCCACTACCTAGGTAATAGATGTCTGGTGTCTTTTTACAGGACGTTATGATGTGCTGCACTGAGCCTGAGATAATGCGTTGGGAAATTGGATATGTTGTGCTAAGGTGTGTGTGTTGCATGTGAGATCTCTCGATGTATGTGGTCTGTATCACTACTGTCTGTGTGAAACTGAGACCAGCAGCCATTTCACAGAACAGAGTGATGTGGTTAGTGGACAAATATGCTTTCCTATGACTTGGCAAGACATGTATAGTTTGAATATAAATTTAATTTTCAGTTCATATTCATATTCCTACTCAAATTGTCTCCACAGTAGTTTAATACATTATTTCTATAAAGCACTAATGTGATACTGATGCAAACAAAACAAAAGCCACAACATTTTAGATAACAAAAGTTAGAGTATGTTGACATGCAAATAAGGTCTTACATTTGTTTCTGACTCAGTCCCAACAATGTTACCATTGGGGACAATTGTTTGGTTGGTAGGCAGGGTGACACTGACTATGTAAACATTGTCTGGAAACTGAGGGAGAGAGCATGGGTTAGTGGAGTTAAATAGATACAAATACTGACGATGCTGGATTGTTTGCATTTGAGTATTAGAAAGAGCTTGAGATGAGCCTCTGAAGGCCTTTTCACACCGCATTGTTTTTAGCCCTGGGCTATCTTATCCCCAGGCTAGACTGGCCCTGGGCTAGCTTAGCCTGTGTTCACACAAGCATTGTTAACCCTGGCTGGGATAAGCTTTAACCCTGGGCTAAGGATTTACACTTGTATTCCAAAGCCCTGGGCTAACGGACAAACACAACATGTGACCAACATTCTATCGCTTACATGCGACCAATGTTATAAGTAATAAGACATTTATTAACATATTATGTACTGTAAGATTTATTTGTATTTTTATGTGTGACAATGATGTTCTGCTTGCTCAAAGTCACACTTGCAAGTTTAAATTGCACTCTTGACTGGCCTGTGCACTCGCGGGACCCATCCTCTGCTCGCTGGACCACATTTATTCTCTCTTAACTCAGTGTTCGCTCGCGCATCTGGCTCACGTTTAATCTTGCTCGCGCGCGCCATCTCATGCGCATTCGACTTTTGAATTGGATTTGACACCATAGGGAACTACCATCGTCTATCAATTACAGAATCCCAAATTATTTATATTTGGCATTGGAAGTTTTATTGAATACAGTCAGTAATACAGGAGTCAAATCGCATAGGGAGTCTCATCAGATCGATGTTATCAGCAAGCCAGAGCCATCTGTAGAAAGAGCACAAGTAAAACAAAGATATAAGTAAACAGAATAAATGTGTCATTCAACTTAAGATCCCACCTAAAACAATGACATGAGCTCTGTCCCAATTAATCTCTGCTCAACTCCTCACTTCCTCTCTACTCGCATCCTTCTCAAAACCCATTGGAGGAGGTCTGAGGCGAGGAACCTTGGGTCGTCTCCTCCAATGGGGTTTTAGAAGGAGGTGTGATGATCAGTCCTTGCATCCATAGCTCTGTCTATGAATTTGAGAGTGGTTACATTTCTCCAGCCCCATCCCTCAGTTTTTTATGAAACGCTTTGTTATTGTTTCAACTTCTGATTGCCGCTTTAAGAAACACATAAATGAGCATACAAGTATGTTTAAGCATACATGACTGTTGGCAGTGTGGTGCCATACCTTTAGCTCCCAGGTGCAGCAGAGCTGACACTAAAGATGTAGTTGCGGCAGATGTCTTGACCAGCCTCTCTGGCTGTTCTCTTGACAGCGATAGCGCAGGAAGGTGTCCCAGGCACTGTTTGTAGCCACGTCACCTCCCTCAGAACCAGTGAATATCTCCAGGTTTTTACAGTGGGGCATCAGCATAATCTATAGAGCGGGCAGAACAATACAGGAGATGGAATTAGATTTAGTATGGAGTCGAAGTAAAAAGGTCAACAAAAGTATGGCACTGGAGTTTGAGGAAGGTGCAGCGATACATATATGCAAAGATGTGAAAGGCATAAGATGAGTTGGTGACTCACTGGTCCAAACTTGAGGTCCTCTGCCTCGTTGGTGTAGTGGTCCAGCGCGGTGAAGTAGAAGCCTGACTCCACCTGGTCAAATGTGTTCTCTCTACACACACTGACCTGTCTCCTGAGAACAACTGGATTGAGAGAGAGGAAAATAAGATGTCAGCAAATGTCACAGAGAGTTTACTTGGAGTTTAAATGTTTATGTTTCATTCAAGGCAACAGTCGATTTTAAGACTACTGTGGCTGTATCAAAAGAGGCAACTATGGTTAATCATTTACCCAAATAGGTGAAAACAAGATGTGGGATTGAGCTGAGCTGTAGGGTAATTCCACGATAACACAGTGATGTTGATCTCAGATTTGTTCACTTTAAAGTGTATGTCAAACAGCAACCAATGATTTCAAAGTGAAACAAACCATACAACTCTATGCACAAGGACTACTTTTAACAATTTGCAATCATTGGTTTGTCTGACATACATTTTAAAGTGATAAATCTGAGTCTCAGCATCACTCTGTTACCATGGAATTGCCCTGTACCTATCCATGCCACTTGCCAGTCAGCTTGGGCTCAGTATTGAAAAGCATGCTGTCAATTTATGCCCAACCCAACTCGTGGAGAGCTATCCTCCAATAGGTTCACGTCATCCCTTACCTACACTACTCATATTGTTTAGCAATGACTATCAAATACATTCAATATAGAACCATCTTTCTAACCGATAAACAGCAGCTTTGGCTTTGGTTAAACCACATCGCTAATAACGTTAGCTAGTTAGCTTCCTAGCTAGCTGACGTTCACCTAGCTAACCTGCTTTAATAACAGAAGACCAAATAACTACTGTGGGGTTCTATTTTCTCATAATTGGATCTGTATGTGATGAATAGCTTAGAAGGAATGCATTAATGATAAGCATAGGTCTGTACTATACTGATATAAATTGTTTCACATAACAGGCTGTGATTCATGTGAGGAACGTTAGGGGGTAGGACAGATAAGACTTGTATTTCTTACAGATACGAACA